ATAAGCATCGCTAAATTAAACCTGGAAATCCTTATAATTAAGATTTCTATATTTTCATTTGACAAATACTCATGTAATAATTATTTATAACATGACATGTACGATACGGAGTTTCGAAGTTAACGAAACAAGTAGGATTTTTTAAAAATATTTATATTGCTATATTAAATTATAAATTTGAGAAATGAAATCAGAAATTTATTTTTAACATCCGAAATCCCTAATAGATTTGAATAGATTTAAATCTAATTTTCATATTTAGGATTATCCGGATTGTCCGGATTGTCCTCTTCAGCCTTACGTCTTCAAAATTGTCCACAATTGTCCACAAATTGTCCAAAACTGTCCCGTGCCAACACTGATCTAGTCATCCAATTCGAATGATCTTTTTTAATTTTGTAGAGCTTATTAAATTTCACAAGTAAAAAAATTCAAATTGGATAACTAGATGGTTGGAAATTTAATTTTTATTACAAAATCAACATAGCTTCGGAGGGTCATTTTCCTAGCAAAGATCCCATACATATGCTATATTAATAATATATAGTTTATTATAATATTTATAACAATTTTTTATTTTATTTTATATAAAGAATTATTTGTTAATTTAAATATGAGTATTTCTAGTTGTACACGGGTAATATATAAAGACAATTTGATTACACGATCAGGTATAACGCAAAATTGTTGCATTCTTTAAAAAAAACGTTTATAACTAAAATTTACTTATGAAATTACCTTTCGGGTATTAATAAAAATTCCTTGTGAAATTTTGATAAACTACCCTAACTTTAAGCAGCGCTTAATTTTTCGGGTTATAAAATTGGTTTGATTTGCATATTACATTTACCCCGTTTATATTTAGAAAAATTTTTTAAAAATATATTATATATCTTTATTAAAATTTATTTTTAGTATTAATCCTAATTTTACTTCTATTTTAAGATCTAACTATAAATTAATCTAATAATACTTATTTTATAAACAATTATTTTATAAACAATTACTTGGTAAACAATGTTTACTTCACAGCTATTATTCAAAAATTTAACATAATTTTATTTATAGCAAAGATTAAATTATATTAATTATAGACCAAAATATCTTAGTGCCGTTAATATAGTTGCTCATCACTACTAATACTACTTTGCAGTCGTTTTCAGATCATTGTACCATGAGGAATTCTTGATATTTCCCATATTTCCCATATTTCCAGAGTATGCTCTACTAGGATCTTTAATTTTATAGCTTTTTTCAAAAAGGAACAGACGCAAATAACTATCACGAAATTACCCAGATTTCCAAAACTTTCAAAGCCAGCTCTAATCGGATTTCCAATTTTTACTAATGATAATTTCCCAATTCTTCGATTCCCGACATAGGTATGTGGAAATCGTTGCTCACACCTTTTTGAAAACAAATTCTTCGATTTCCAACATGGGCATATGTTGAAAGCAGCTGTAAGTAATCCCCATATTGAGAAATGCTACATTTACCAAAAAATTAAATATAATACAAGTCTTTAATGGCATTTTACAAACCTGCTAAAAACGCTAGCCAAGACCTGCGGGTAACAATGTATAATAGATGCTCTATTTGAAATGCTTCATATATTATCATCAAATGTAGTGATAAAGCATGAGAACTATCTGACGAGATTTTTGATATGGCTTTCTAACGAAATAATGATAGAGTTTACTATAATATTTTACATACTCAATACATAATTCAATACATAATTCAATACATAATTCAATACATGATTCAATACATAATTCAATACGTCATAACTATTTTATTACTGTACTAAGGGGTTTCATATTTAATGATTCGGTAGATAAAAAAAGTGACGTATTTACTTCAAAATACATGATAAATAAATCCTATTTTTTTAACGTATAGACTTATTTACATAACCATTTACCGATAAATATTTATCAAAAAAAAGCTAATTTTATTAATGTGTGTCTATTTAATTCACAGAATCGGAAATTTAAAAATAGAAGTACGTAGGATCTTTTAAACCCACTTATTTTCAAAATGTATTAAGTTCGTCATCCTTGTGTGATTGATATCGGATTTGACTAATTACACCGATCACACTACGCATGTAAATTGCATAATTGTTTATCAGAAATTTGGGAACTTTATAACACAAAAAGAACACAAGTACAAAAATAGTAATATTGAAGGTAAATTTGTAAGAAATTATAAATAAACAATAATGATAATGAACTACCATACGTTACCGGGTAACACTATCTAAGCCCATTTTAAAGTATGTCACGAGAAATTCATAATAATTGACGAAAAAAAATACTAATGGTAGTAGTATACCAAAAACATGCGGACGTACATCACGTGAATGAAACAAATTATTTACGTACGTACGTTACGAATGAACTTTACGAACGAAGTGAGAAATTTGAAAAGTTAATTTCTAATGCCGATGTTGTATTATTGTTACTACTAAATATGGTATTCCCACTCTTGATACAGACAACTTTTACGCCATTCTCTAAATTTAATTTATCCATAAACGTTCTTGTGGTTATTTGTCAATGATCTTCTAAAAGAGAGATATACCACATGCGTATTTTCTATCGCTGTAATTTTTAGCATTGTTTTTAAATAGTATAATCAGCAATATTATTTATTTTATAAATAGACTTACTTTTAATTCCCTGCGGACTGGATTTAAACCAATTCTTTATTGTTTCAATAATTAAAATGGGTTCAATTATTAGACCTACACATTGTTGCTTTTGCATTTCCCTGAGAACGGGTGTTATTATTATAACAATTTTATGGCTGGCAAGTTATCTTTCAATGTGAACTCATATATCAATTGAAATTATTTATATGCAAAATAAAATTATTTTCTAACCATAGATTGGAGCATTAGCTTCCGTTAGTACTTCTATAGCATCTATCGTTAACCATGGCACTCCGAGCAGCTGTATTGAATGCGGATGTAATTACTATTTTATTCTATTTAATTAATTTACATAATTTCTTTTTTTCTATTTTGGCATTAATGATTTGAATTTATATTTTAGACTATGATTATGGATACTTCTATGTGAATTTAATTTTTCATGCCATAATTTTTCTAGTAACTGCTTTTGGTATTATTGTCGTTTGCTGTGCGGTATGTGTATTATATGTGACGGTTTTATACAGAAACTTCAATCATTATGCAACTTACGAACCTTTTATAATCCATTAGGAAAGTCCTGCTCTTTTAAGAGTCTATTCTATACTATTTTGGATTATTGTAATAATAGAAGTTATATTTTATATATTTATGATCATTATTATTGCTGCATTTAAGTCAAAATTTTATGATTATTGTAATGAGCATGCTAAAACACAAAATGATATAATGGCTTGCGATGATGCATACCGTAGTTTTACAATAGGATCGATCGTGGGTTACGGATTAGGAATTATTATCTCGGTA